CTTAGAAATTTCACATACATAAATAGTAATTGTAAATATGTGTAGATGTTATTTGGTCAGTTTGGACGTCACTTCTTTGAAAATTAAATTACAGTGAAAACTGTCTAATCCGACACCTGAATAATCCGACACACTGTGAATTCCGACTTGAAATTTCTCTCCCATTTTACTATTTTCTATGTTTTAAACACTGTCCAATCCGACACCCTGTCTATTCCGACACAAAATTTGTCTCCCAGTTCATGTCGGATTAGACATGTTTCACTGTACATAATTTTTTAGTTTAGTTTTGATTGCATCATAAACTACAGGTTAAAACAACAACTTTTAATTCTGTCTGTCATAGAAAGATCGTCCTTCAACTCACTTTGTCATTGGAAAATTGCAAAATTACTTTGTGAAAAACATTCTGGTTGTACATACGAGTACTGATAAGATGGTATTAAAACGATTTTGGAGTTTCTGATGGACAATATCTTTTTGGTGATTAAAGATCATGTCTGTCATTGGAAAAGATTGGAATTGTCATTGGTTTGTATTGCATCCCTTTAACTGTTGAAGAATCGAGATACACCGTGGCACGAGGGGTGGCTCGGATGTACAGTATAAACAAAGCTCATGTGCAGTACAGAGTGCAGACACGAGAAGACCTCCCATTGCTCAATGGACATAGTGCCGGGTTTAGGACAAAACTTGCAGTTCTTCTGAGGCTATCCCTCATGGCACCTAATGTTCTCTCTGTTTTAAGACCCCATTGTTTACTGAGCTCCTAACATGAATTATTTTGTGAGATTTTGAGTAAGATTTTTAATATTATTATTTGGTTGAAGGTTGATCATGATTAGCATAATAAATCTTTGGTTGAATGTTAAGAAAATTAGTAAAATTATAATTCGTCATCCTCACATTATATAATTTTGTACTCAGGAAGGAAAGCGAGCCCAAAGATGAATTAGTTTTGGACTTAGGAAAGCTAACTCGAAGATGAATTTGATTTGGACTTGGATAGCAAAACGACGATGAATTAGATTTGGACGTAGAATAGGATAGCCAAACTGAAGATGAATTAGATTTATACCCGGTACTTGAAAAAGTGTTTTTACAGATGAATTAATGATTTTGCTACTTTCAATCTGATTATTTTTGTAAAAAAAGAATTAACTATGGATCAGTTTATTTTACCAATGAGATAAAAAAAATTATATTTAATTTCCGAAGAGTTATTTAATTTCATGCACATTTTTAAAAAATACGAGAAATGAATAATATATGACAAAAATCAAGGAACTGTTTAAAATCTTGTTTTTTTACAATAACATTAACTTGGTGTTGTTATCTTGTTGTCAGTCATGTATCATAGTATGCATAATAAACTTCTTTTAATTTAAAAAGTGATTCCCAATCTGATGATTTATTAAACATGTATGGGGATTATACCCTATATTTTAAAAACAGAATTGATTGATTTGAAGAAGTCTGGATATATTTATAGACCAGGTTGAAGCTATGGTGAAGAATCAAAAGATAAAAATGTCCTCATCTTTAAAATCTTTTTCGTTTGAAATTAAACAGATGGCCTAGTTTCATTCTTTGCTACTTTGATACTGTCTGCATAATTTATTATAAACCAACACTTATTACAGACTATATTATTGGGAATAATTCACAAGAGAGTTGAGTTTATTTTTTTCAACTCTAATCAAAAAGCGGCATTTACGAAGGTTGTCCAAAAAGTCGTAGACTTTTTTTTATTATTTTTTAAACATGCAACCAATACAAAGCAAATTTTACATAGACATAATGTATTCAATGTTCTTTGAAAATGTGAAATTTCAATTTCAATTTCACTTTCAATTCACAAAATAAATCTTCATTAGTATTATTACTATGCTTCTTGTTGACCTATTAACTAAAACAAAATATTCCAAAAATAAGGTCCTTAAACAGGTAATGATGTTCATTCACATATCGACAGGATTGATTTCAGCATGTATAATTATGAGTAGAATTTTTTATCTTATATTTTGAATCAAATGCCACTTTAACAAATATTTGATTGGACAAAGCTAAAAATTTAGTAACTTTATCCAGTGCAATTTAATTTGTTCATCCTTATAATGCTTAATTAATGTCTCTCATTTCCAAGGGAATACCTTTTTGGTTTCGTTCGGTTTCTTTTTCCCCATAATTATTCTTTTTTATCTTACCTACTTTGTGCACGCCAGTTCTCTGAAATGGCTCCACCGATTTCTCCAAACTTTCAGATCTAATAGATATCTGAACCTTGTCAGAAATTTTAATGGTCGATATTTTATTTGTGGACTTTTGAGTTTAATTGTATTGAAAGGAAAGTTAATAATACCTAAAGTACGTATTATGAAAAAGACTTTCAACCCTGTCTATCTTTCATAAATAGAAACTCCATGTTGTTAAAATGTTATTAACCGGTGATGTTTTAAATACTTCAATGTTGTTTTTCTGACCTGTGACAAAATGGTGCGAGATAATGATTATTTCCAAAATCTTTAACGTCCAATGACAGAAAAAGTTGTAAAATTCCTTTCAGGGTTATTAACTTCTAATCACTAAAAGTTGTTTGTCTTGACACAGGGCAAAGGTTTTTCTGTTAAGAACAAGGTCACTGACAGAAGAAATATTTTCTTTACTACGCTATTAATTAGTAAATGCTTTAATCTGAGGAAAAACATAAGTGAGACAACAACTTCTGCCGAATTCAGGTCATGATATAAAAAAAGGAAAAGATCTTATCCATCTGAAGCAAACAAAAGTCAATCATATTAAGTTCCATGGTCACTTTCAAATACATGTTCCAGTTCATTATCAGAACTAAAAGATTTGTGTGTTATAGTGTAAGGCACAACGTATGCAACTACAGGCTCTATAAAAATAGAACTAATATCCATATAAACAAAACTAAAACAGCATGGAATTTTGCTGTAAATTGCTGGGAAAATGCATTTTCATACATTTTTACGAAGATGCCAAATTCACAAATGTCTTTGTGAAAAAATCGAAAAAAAAAAAACATTTTTTTTATTTTTACTCTTATAATTATTTATTTTATAGGGATAGTAATCCCTTTAGTGAATCGATACTAATATTCATAAGTATCTGTGGTAAGATATTTTTGTGACGTAAGCATTTAAAATGTGTGCCTTTAAAACTGCATTATTTCCAAGAAAAATGTGATTTAGAAAAACTTAGTTCCACCAAAAAATACCAGATATCAGAGGTGAATCATTACTTGGCATAATAACAGACCCTTGATTGATTGTAAATCCAATATATTTTTCCCTCAACCATAGGCATACACATAAACTTCAAGATTCATGGTCATGGATTTAAGTAAATATTATCAAATGGACATTTATTTTGCTATTAAAAATTTATTTCACTAAAATACATAATTCAAATTTAAAGTTAAAGTTGTTCATGTAGATCAACAAACAAATTCATCTCAACTTTTAAAAGAAATAATAAGTACCAAATTAGATTTTGCTTACATTGACAGAAAACTTAGAATATAAAATATAATTATACGTGTTGTTATGGACTTTGACAATGGCATTTTGAATGTTATACTATTTTTTTTTCTATTATATTTAAATGGGCGTTTTATTTATTTTCAGAAAGAGTCTATCCAATTTAAGGTAAGGTAAATACCTTTGTGACTGATTTGCTATTTGAATAGATATCAAGAGTAAATACATGCAAATATATCAGCAATTAAAATCCATTCAATTTCAGTCTTCATTTAAACACAGTGCAAAGGGAGAGAATTCATCCATCATCTACGGTCTAAATCAATCAATAGTTCTTTTCTCAATGATTCATGTAATTGAATGGACAAATATCAATTCAAATTCTTTATTTGTAGATAACTACAAATTAATTTCTATGTTTAAATAAATAAATAATTCATTATCAAACACATTTGATATATGTTTTGTTATTGAATTTTTTTTTCCTCATCCAATTTCTTATAAATACGAATAAACTGCATGTGACATAAGAAACTATTGCTACAAATCGTTCAATACCAATACAGTCGCTGTAAGCATTTAATATATGTGACACCCGTTTTTTAGACAATAGCGCTGATGAATGGAACTACCATCATCTCTTTTTTCTACGTTTTTTTTTTCAAATATTCCGTGCATTTAAAATACTTATTTAAAATCAATTAAAAATTTCCGAGGTAGAAGACGCTTTATCAAAAATTATTTTTTTAACATAATCTATATTTTATTTGGTAGTTGTTATAAAAATGCTTCCCCATCGTTTGTATTCTGATAAGCAATAAATATGTTTTCTTGAAGAAAATTAAATAAATGTAAAAATTTAATAATGTATTACATGTATACGATGAAGGGCTTCTACTGAAGAGATAGGCTCAATTTATTGATTTTAATAAAGTATAAATGAATTGATTGAATAACGTGTATAAAACCATGTTGTTTCGGTTTGTCAACGATCATGATCAGCAAATTGCAACTCATCGGGTCTTCCTATCTAACAGAATAATTACCTCGAATGTATTACGTATACATCATGACATCCCCATGCTCCTCACCCCCTTTACCCAAACTTTGAAATAAATGAGGAAAGATATTTTATTTGTTGACTTTTGAGTTTAATTTTATTGAAAAGAAAGCTAATAATACCTAAAGTACGTATTATGGAAAGGACATTCAACCCCGTCTATCTTTCATAAATAGAAACTCCATGTTGTTTGAATATCATTAACCGGTGATGTTTTAAATACGTCAATGTTGTTTTTCCGACCTGTGACAAAATGGTGCGAGATAATGATAATTTCAAACATCTTCAACGTCCAATGACAGAAAAGTTGTAAAATTCCTGTCAGGGTTATGAACTTCTAATCACTTAAAGTTGTTTGTCTTGACACAGAGCCAATTTTAAGGTTATTCTGTTAAGAACATGGTCATTGACAGAAGAAATATTTCTTTAAATACGCTATTAATTAGTAAATGAAAATCATTGGAGGCTCTAAGTTGAAACATAGATTACTTATGATTTGGGCTTTTGTCGTGAACCTGATCAAATGATTTTCTGACAAAGAAAAAAATGTTTAAATATAACTTTATAATTAAAATTCATTGGAGGCTCATGCTGGGAAGAAAGGTTGTTGACATTAGAAAGTGCAGTGACCTTGACCTAGTGTCTGTACTTCCTGTCCACAGCTCCAACGGAAGACCTACTTGTTGCTTTGCAACGAAATCGGCTCTAGTTCTTACTATTTTTTTCTGTCTATCGCCGCATTTGTAAATATTTTTTTTTATTTTATTTAAAATACATGCTTCTAAATTTTAGTGCTTACAATAACCTGGACCGTCAAGAAGATAACAATTCACAAAATGCCAAATTATATCAGAAATGTAAACTAGAATGGAAGAAAAACACAAATATGTGTTTGTCAACCGATCCAAGCAGAACTATTATCTTCGTAAGATATACATGAAAAAGATAATTGAAATTTTTAATGAAAAAAATCATTTATTGACAAAATGACGAAACTACTAATACCGTAATATACTTTTTGTAAGAAAAGTTAATAACACTCTATGAGCAAAATCATCTTAGTGTACTATGTAAAATGATTATAAATATAAAATCTATATTTCATAGAAGTAAGTTTTTTTAATCACACATATCCATTGTTGTACTGTATTATTGAGGACGTAATTCTTTCGCATTATTATATCAATTTCGTTCCACCTGTTTAATCTGCATCTGTAGACAAAACTAGAAAATAAGGATATGGAAATAACGAACAGTATTCAATCTCAACGTCCATTAAACAAATATACAAAACAAGAGCAGAGCAAACACGGACCTCCGAAACATCAGAGGTGGGATCAGGTGCCATGGAGGAGTGAGCATCCCCTGCTGACCGGTCACTCCCGCCGTGTGCTCATTGTCATAATCAGGAAATAACGGAAAAAATCCGTAGTCAATTCAGTGTATAAATAATGGACTAACAATTGGTATGAAAAACGTCAGTCAGCATTTCATTCAATGATAAATTGTATTTGCTGACAAGGTCATTGTATCGACCATAGAATTTACGAAATGATGACTTTAAACGAGACTGTTGATATTCTTGTTTCATCAACTTGCTTGTCAATAATTTACCTTGTTTAAGAAATTGTTCATACGTAGAGCATGCTCTTGCGTATCAACAATAAAGTTCATATTTATTATGCCAAAACCCGTTGCTTTGGAATATTAAACGATCAGGAAATACATAATGAATGTGATTGATTACAAAATAACAGAATGGTTTACCTAGTGACGTTTAATTAACATCCTGGTCTCCTTTACTGAGGATCCGTCCTCTACTATAGGATCCCATGGAGAGGCCCACATTTCCGGGGCCCAGGGACCGTTAAGGTAAGCGAGGTGGCAGTAGTTAAACCACCAGCCTCCTCCATTAGCTCTGGCACAGTTCGGACCCATTGCTCCGTCATTATCTCTGTCAGGAGTGGAGAAGAACATCCCAGACAGATCTCTCGCAGACGTCCCAGTGTTTAACATAGCGTCTCCTGTAAAAGTAAAGGTAACACCTGGATCATATCAATAAACCTGTTGTAATCTCTCTTTTCTTTTCCTTATGATTCTTTTTTTTAAAATTGACTATATCGGTCTGAAAAAACAAGACAGGTTTACTAACTTATTCAAATTCAACGAATACAAACAACCAATGTAAAAATATCTTGTCTGATATGTGATATCCCTATTATTTTGCTGCACGATATATCTTACAATATTTTATCTATGCTTTGGTGTTTATCTAGTCTAACAACAACACATTGGACTTTTGATAAATAATAAAAATAAAAAGGAAACTTTTATTTTAAACACTTATTCTCTCTCTCTCTCTCTCTCTCTCTCTCTCTCTCTCATATCATTTATCATTACTAACCTAATGTCCCGGTAGCTGGCCCACCAAGATAAAGTTTGTATTTGTCCGATTCATCACTAATAGCAAACTGTTGATAGTGTTCATACAGAGTTGTGCCATTTCTTAATGTAATGGAAACGTAGAGAGATGAGTTCCTTCCCTTTGTCAACTGCTGAATAACGTCGTTTCCTACAAACGCAATATGTATCGTTAGTAATAAATTAAAATTTCAGGAGTATAGCATACGTTTTAAATTAAAATAAATGAGGATTTCAAGAATATCAGACTTTATTAAAATTTGTAGTTGCGCCATACCCTAAACCAATGTTATTTTTTAACTCTACGATTTAAAAGTTAACATCAGATTTGTATTATTTATAATGCACTCGTATTGATAGTGTTATCAAACCGGATTTGCAAAATTATATTTTCATGGTACATACCCCGAATTCATCATACTATTGAAGAATGACAGATTAACATAAGTACTTACCAATCCAGTAAGAGTCGTTAGGACTCCCGAACCCAGTCTTGTACTCCGCCCACGTTCTGTTGAATCTTACAGATCCGCTCACACGTCTCTGAATTGCCTATGGGTTGAAAAAAGAAATAAATGCTTCATTTACGGTATTGTTTGTTTTTTTAAAATATATGCATTTTATCTACTGATTAGCCCGCATGTTACATGTACAAATGTAATTTCAAATAAAATTCAAATAGACAAAGGTAATAAAAAGAAAGATATTGAAAGAAATCTTACTGTCCACCCACCGCCCTCGGTTTCCTTGTCACAATACACGCTGACTTGAGTCTGGTTTTCAAACGGATGAATTTCATAGACACCGGACTGTGTTTGTCCCTCTATATAGTGGTCCCGGCAATCCTTATTGAGTTGGACATCTGTATGACAAAAGACGTCATGGATATTGTAATTATGAAAAGAAGAAAACGTGGAAGAAAAAGAATAGAGAGAGAGAGAGTGCACCTTCGTAAATTTCGGCGATTTTTCTAGTAAACCTCTTTTCAAGTTCCTGAATCTTTTCCTGGCAATTACTGTTTAATCTTTTCTGCTCCTCAGTCAGAGAATCAACCTTTCTTTGTAATATTTCTATGTTTTTCTTCACAGAATTGACGTCATCTAGAGCTGTCCTGACGTCGTTGACAACGGATACTCGTATTAGTGTCTCTTGATTGACGAGCTGACGGAGGATATCAATCTCCTTTCCGTCATTTCTTTCGTTTATCAGAGCAGTGGAGTTCTGATCGTTAGTACTGGTTAACAAGGAAGCCGTCCTGATTTGTGATACAGTCATAAAAATCAGTACAAGAACTAAAAACATCGTCATCCTTTCAATTTTGGTATGAGGTTACCAGAGGAAAAGAATTTTTTGCAGCAGTTAGATATTGCACATTGTATTTATAGAGACATTTGGGGATTTCCTCATTCAAATGATGTCATAAGGTGAATAAAGAGATGCCTAGATAATGCGCAAAAAATTAGTGTGTAAACATCAGAATACTTGACAGGGTTACCCTTGACAGTACTTGATGTGTGCAGTATAACAGGAATCACGAATACTGTGATAAAGAGATGTCTACATAATGCGCAAAAATTAAGTGTGTAAACATCAGAATACTTGGGAGTTCCGAGTGTTTGAAGTATAACAGGAAACACGTCTATTGCGACGAAAGATAATTATCTCACAAAGATGCTTCTTATTATATCATTATGTCATTAACTTGTTTACTTAAGGTAAAGGTATAAACAATAACAAAGTCAGAAGTACTTAAGCAATAGAAACTATTTACTTTTTCCTGAATATAAAGGAAACAAAAAACTATTTACGACCACATGCTAAGTATTTACGTCACATCTAATTATACTGTTATTTCTGGCTGAATGTAACAAAGGACATCCGGAACTTAAATCCGCAATATAATGCTATATTTTGTTTTTAAACTGACGGTTTTTTTTACATAAGCTGTAGACATTAATGCAAAAGTTTGTTCAATTATTATAATATTATTATGGTACTAGTAAAAAAACATTCCAAAAATGTTCAAATAAGTTGTCCGTTCTAAACTCATAGGTTTATAATTAATGATATGAAATGCTACACAATACTAGTTAGTCAATTATTTATATACTGAATTGATGACGGATCCCGATCATGAGAATGAACACACAGTGGGTGTGACCGGTCGGCAGTTGATGCAAAATCGTATTTACTCTACTTCTGTTTTGTATTTTTTTATGGACTTTAAATCTTGAATACTGTTCGTTATCTCCCTTCGTATCATTCACAAGAAATTTTATATGACTATATATTGAATAGAAATGCCTATATAACTATTTAAAATGACAAATAAATAAATGCAATTTGATCCACATGAAAACTTTTGTTTCTACATTTTTCTTTTCAAAATATCATTTATTCCTTCACATTTAAATTATTGTTAAAAATTAATTCAGCGTTTTTGCGATGCTCAATTTCTACCATGAAACTTTTCTAGTTCTTATTACGTACTTTTTGGTCTTTTGATATTAACAGGATTACGGAACATTTATGATAAGATTTTTTCATAATCACTATAGATCCTGCAGGACTTGTTCTAAATAAGTAAACTGTTAACTCATGGTAATATCGAAATTACTCTGAATCTCACTCAAAGGAGAAACGAAGGGAACTGATTGACTCCTGTCATAACCTTACGAAAGTACCCTGACTTCCACTTCCGCAAATATGTAACTTTACAACTCTAGAATTGATGCATTCTCCCCACACTGTGAAAATCTTAACTGAGCGATGTCACGGTTTCTATGCATAAGTCCTGGTCACTGCATTAAAAATATGTAACCCCTAGTAGACCTCTTTAATAGATATAGGTAATGCATTAGCAAAGTTCCAGACCACTTGGTTTAAAGTAAGTGAACTCAAGTTATAATTGTCAGTCCAAGTAAGGGGATTTCTGAATTATAATAAACAAAACAGTGGTGTGATATTTTTTATATCATTTATTTAAAAGCAAAGAAAGGAACAAATATTTAGATATTTTTTTATCTAAAAATTTATATAATTTCATAGTAAGAAAGTCAAAGTTATCTTTTTTTTTTATTTTGATGTTCCTAAAATTCTGCTTGACGTTGGATAAAAATATATTTCATTTCAAAGCACATTAAATTAAAAAAGGTTTAAAAGCTCCCAAACTTAAAAACATTCTACTTTCACTTTGGATCGAACTGGGGTTCCAACTTCTCCAACGAATCATTACAAGTTGTAAGTCTCAGATTTATAGGGACTCATTCTTTACCCCTTTGAACATATATTACCCCATTTCAAACTATCAAAGCAACTAAACGTCCATTTTTTCCCTAAAACATGATTTGCTGCTGTCATAGAAGTAAAAAAGTGTTACTCTTGCATCACAAGTAATATCATTTGGTGTTCTTTTTAAAAACAATTTTCAAAAATTCTAGTATAAATAAATAATTTTTAAAGATCCTTGTTAAATTTTTCGATACATAATGTTTTAATATTGGAATATGAATTTTACTATTAATACTGGAATATGAATTTTACTCTTAATTCACATATATTAAACAATAACAATTTATTGAAATTTTAGGGTGAGACAGCCTTTTGACAACGGGCTGAGACATAGATATCTCAGCCCCAAGGGCGAGACAGCCATTCTTCTTAAGCGCTGTCTCATGCACTTAGTCCAAAAGGTCTGTATCAGGGGAGGTACATTTACAGGTATAAATGCTATAAAATTAGAATATAATTCAATGTTCCACGGAAAGAAAAGCTTTCACTGTAAGATGTATTAAAAAAACGATATTTATTCTAATACTCTGTCCAGACATCATCATTCCGCAGTGCTCGTAAGAAAGAACAAAACATGTCTGATTTTCAATTCATTACAACACAGATAATGTACAGCTTTTATTTGGGAACATTCAGTAAAAAGAATTAATGAAACATTTATTCCTTCAGGAGATAGTTCAACCCCAAACTTCTCAAAACATAATCCTTCACATTTTTTTCTGTTTGATCTATGTAGGATCTCCTATGATTTGTAGTTGGATATTCTTTCTATCCAACAAATTGTGTGATTTTTATCCCCGACCAAATCGAACAAAAAAAAACTATGGGAAATTCTTTTCATCCCATGTTTAATACTTCACAATCCATGTTTTACACAAGCTTGTATATATAGGACTCCACTTTATTTTACTTCCTTTGGCAAACCCATTATGACTCACATTTGTGGGATACAAAATCAATATCACAGGAGCTATATCAAAGGGGTAAAGGGTTACACATGGGACAGTAAACATTATTGAAAAAAAAAACAAGGAAAAGATTCCCATGATGAATTTTAAAAATTGTCTATTTTATCAGAGATGTTTCATCTGACTAATGGGTTGTCTTTGTAAATTTGTGGTAAAACCAGTTTGAATATCCATCTGTTAAAAATTGAAAAAAAATAAAAAAAACTTAAATAATATTAAAAATAAAATCGACTCTAAGAATTTTTTATAGCCGTTCATATGTATTATTATAACAGCAACTTGATCCGAAGGGTCGTATCACGTCGAGTTGACAGGCGCGGATCATCAGATCTAACGAGACGCGAAGCGTCGAGTTTGATCTGTTGATCCGCGCCTGTCAACGAGACGTGATACGGCTCTTCGGATCAAGTTACTGTTAGAATGATAAATTTATTATATACCCCTCATAACTAGCAAAATATAGCAATAGAAAACTTTAGAGATCGATTTCATAACATTTATCCATAAAAAAAGCATAATAACAAAGGACTTTTTAACGCGCAAGAAAAATAACGTCATATTTCTGCGTACTACGTCATCAGTTTCAGAGAGTGGTGATATGGATTCAGAAAACAACATGTTGGTGATCCGGAAAATCAGATCACGACGTTACGTGATAGCGTAAATTCAACAGTAAAATTGAGTGATACACACTAGGTATATAATAAAAGGAAATATCAAAGAGTAAATTTGTTTTTTTAAGATGAAGTGTTGTTTACCTAGTGGCGTTAAATTAAAATGATTTAATCCTCTGATCAGTAAGATGAAGTGTTGTTTACCTAGTGGCGTTTGATTAACATCATTGTTCCATTGATCAGTAAGATAAAGTGTTGTTTACCTAGTGGCAGTTTATTAACATCATTGTTCCCCTGTTCAGTAAGTTAAAGTGTTGTTTACCTAGTGGCGGTTTATTAACATCATTGTTCTCCTGATCGGTAAGATAAAGTGTTGTTTACCTAGTGGCGGTTTATTTACATCATTGTTCCCCTGATCAGTAAGATGAAGTGTTGTTACCTAGTGGCGTTAAATTAACATTGAATTAGGATAATTTTAATCCAAATCTTATGTATTTGAAACTTTTATTTTGAATTTAATTCTTTAATAAAACCTTGTTTTTTTGTCATTGCGCCGTAGGACAATACCCCATCCACATTCAAGCATAATAAATTTTAGAAGATTATCCCTAAGGGCTATATAAGAAATATAAACCTATGGTATCTTGGCCAAATGCCTGGTAAGGTGCTCTAATTTTTTTGTGAGGAAACGTGTTTTAATACCTATACTTCAATGGCAAATTCTTAGGAAATCAAAGTACTGAAAGTACTGAAAAGCGGTTAGCATGCTTTCATCGAATATGTACAGTGTACAATAACAAAAAATGCATTGAATGATGACATTAAAGTAAGCATGCATATCTTTTCCAATGTCATCAGCGAAGAAGCAGACACGCTGAATTTTGTAGTACTTAACTAAATGGTAAAACCAGTATTATCCCAGACTGATGTCACAAATGTTTGTGTCAAAATATCAAAATGAGATTTTCAGTTTGAAGGACAGGAAGTTCAATTTCAAAAATTTCTCCCTAATTGTCTCCATTGGTGGCGTCCAAAAGTGCTCAGAACGAAAAAAATTATGTTGATGTTGCAAATTAAATTGGCTTTCATGGTCTATTGATTCTGAAATTAGGTAACTGTAAAGGCTACAATAGCAAATAACTCTAAAAGAAAAGAAAATGATAATTCAAATTCTTTAGATTAATTGGTTTGGAGTACTGTACATAGATCTTTAGCTGGCTAGTCTGAGATAAACGGATGGACGAGCAGAGAATTAATTAATTTCAGAGAGCTTCAGTTTTGCAGGCTCACTGCGGGTCAGCAGGTGTGACCTGTCATTGGGGATGCTTACTTCTCCTAGGCACGGGAACTTTCAAGGATCCGTTTTTCTTTTGAGACCGATCACTGTTCATTCTGTATTTTGATACAGATACTGAGTACATCTGTTTATTAATATTATGAACTATAACTCTCACAG